CTAATACTGCAGTTTTGAACTTTGGGCATGTTCAAATAAGACAAAATCAATGCTGTGAGAGACTTAAGTTTACTTTTTTCACCAAGCCTTTTGAACTGAGACAGTAATACACACACACAAAAAACACACTGATGCACAGTCGTCTTAGAAAACGTGTAGTTTCGCCGAGAACGTGCTGCAAGCAGTTTTTACCAAAGACTCAATTAGAGTGCAAGAAAGACAAAGAGTCTATTGTGAAAGTAAACGGGTTCTGAGCCAGTAAACAGAGTAATCACCAGACAGCCACGCAGCACAAGTAAAAGAGGGGTCTCTGACTATTACAAGTGATTATCTTGTATTGCACAACATGTGTTTTTTAGAGTACCAAAGCATTTTTCATCTTTCTGTTGAGATGGCGAGTGCAGTTCATCAAAACATGCAAAAAAAAAAATAAAATAGAAACCCAAACAGAGGAAAATGTTCTCCTTTTTTTTTTTTTTAGCATTTTAACTATTAATGTAACAGAAAAGACATTTGCTTTTATACCTTTTAAGTTTTGTGGGTACAATTAGCCATGTAATCCAACCCCATTGCAACCAAAAGCACAGGCATCATACTGTTACCTGTGACTGAAAACTGCTGTACTTGTTATCATTTTAAGCATGACTGACTGTTAACTACAAATGTGCTTTTTTAACTAGCTTACTATTTTTTTTATTGCCATGAACTTTTCTTTGAAAGCTTTGAAAGAATTTCCAAACAATATATTTCTAAATTTGTACTCAGTGTTTACATTCATACGAGTTACGTAACTCCTGTTTTGCTTTCGGTTTCTTTGTCAGTGCATAGTTGTCATTTAAGTAGAAGGTAAAGTTTTCTTTTGATCCTGCATAAAGTAAGAAGAGTAAAACTGTTGAATTTGCCATGTGAGGTTTGATAAAAGAAAGTGAGGATAATGTTTACACAGTCTTTTATGAACTAACTTGTCTTGTATTATACTGTAAATTGTTTTTATTATTGTGAAAATGTAAAACTGAATGTATTTTGTACATAAATATATTTTTCATAACAGGACTAGATTAAATAAGTGAGGTATGAATAAAAAAGTATCCACTGTCCAAATTAGGAGTGTTTATGTATTTTTTTCAAAATTTAAAATATTCAATTTTGACAAGATTTCCAACACCACTCCGTACCACGACAAACCCTCCACTGTGTTTTACAGATGGCTATAGACACTAACTGTTGTATTTATCTCCTGAACTCCTCTTTACATACTGACAATGACTTGAATCAGAAATTTTAAATCTGGAACAGAACTGTTGAGTGATTTTCAGTCCAGTTCTTGAGTAATGTGGCATATTTCAGCATTTCCTTCCTGTTTCCCTTCCGTAAGAACTACTTCTTGACAGCCGTCCATCCACTGAGATGATGTCTGATGAGGCTTCAGCGAACAGTAGACAATCAGCTGAAGGGCAGATCCACCTCTGAGGGTCTGTGTCAGGACTTTGCTGGATTTATTTCTATTTTTGTAAGTACATGGATTTCAGATACTGTTCACCTGCTATAGATAGTTTTTCTTAGATCTGCCACTTCCCCTTTAGTGTTCCACTTCTTCAGTTTCCTCAAACTTTTTATGTACACACTGCACAACGTGCTGAGATGTGCCAAAGTTAACAGCTGTTTGGGAATCTCTTTAAATCTGGTCACTGTTGGCATTGTTCACATATTCAGCTAAAGAAATGGGAACAAATTAAATGTTTTTGTAACAAAGTTAATGAGGATACTGTTTAAATTTGGTTCTTTGCTATGTTGTTTGAATGAAACTCAAAGCCGTTGTTTTTAACTTATCTGGTGCAAAATCACAACAAAAGTTGCATCAAGGCATTTTATAGTGTAAGGTACACACACTGGTTCATCCCTTGAGTTAGGTGTCTTTTTATGCTTTTTAGGTCAGAGTGAAGCGGCTTGAAAAATATTCCTCTGAAAAGTGTGAGGTACAAGGAAAAAACAGACAATTAAAATTTTAAAAGGCTTCACAAAGCCCGGAGAAGTATCGCTCAAGATCACTTAAAAAATTACAAGACAACCTGCCTCCTTGGAAGCAAAACATAAAGAAATAAGGAGCGGCCCAAAACTTTTGCACAGCACTCGATGTCACAACCACACTTTTGCAAATTATACTGTATTTAATCTCGTGCTGATTAAAATTGATTCAGTGATGTCTGCGACTGTGGGGAAATTGCCTGCAGACTTTCTGCAGCTCACATATGCTTACAGTTTACTGCTGCACATCCTGCTTGGACCCACAGTTTCTTCCCGCAGCTACAACCTCCGTGTAACTGTGACCTGTTACAGAATCACCTTCCACATTCACTCACATACATTTCACCGAGTCTTCACGCACTTTTCTCGCCCTGCCATGTATTAACCTTACAGTCCAAGGTAGAGCCAAAACGGACACGCAGCTTTGATAGATAGACGACAGATTCCAAGCCTCTCTGCTAACTTAAGGTTTTACTCAGAGATTGAAAGAACCCTTGGCTCTAAACCCCTGTGGTGCCAAACGGTGAGTGCGTGTGAGACTGCTGTAGCTATAAAACCTTCACCCAGTATCCTGCTGTTGGTTTCCTGTAACTAGGAATCACACACACATGCTTATTAAGCACGGAACTCACTATTCTCCTATAAGACAGAAACTCAACACGCACCACCAAGGACAAGACGAAGGAGAAGAAGAAAATATCGCATGTGGCAACAGACGCACACGCATGTTGGCGTCTAGGTTTCAGAACAAAGGTTCGCAGGCTTCTGGCTTGTTAAAGACGTCACCATGAGGTTTAAATGGTTACAGTACAGCACATTTAGAAGGTGCTCAAACTTGGAAACTGCCATGGTTACATTAAAAAGTGCAGAATGAAAGATAAATGTGAACTTGCTACAAATTTTTAAAAAAGCCTTCGAGCAGGACTTGCTCACTTTCATCTGGTTTCTCATTCCAGATTCAATATCAGTCGGTCGATCCCTGTCGAGCTGGATTACAGCCACCGGACTACTTAAGTGTACAGAACTTTCAAACTATCGTGTTTTCTGTCTCTTTTATTTCCCTTTTCTCTGCTTCTTTCTGAGCCCACAAGAAGGCTAGGTATTCATGTGCACTTTCATGTCCAGTAGTCTAGTAAAAGGTGATGACTTTGAGGGTGTCGTGTATCTAGTGGAAAGAAATGTTAGCGCTATATTTTTAAAACAGCCGTTACATACATGCATCTCTGGAGGAGCCGGCAATCAGGAACTCGATACGTGCGGAGACTACAGAGTGCAAATGTTACATTACAGTGACACTGAGGTATTATTATTACCTTCCCTAATTTATCAGATTCATAAGTCTGACTGTGATGCAATACTCTGCGAGGGCCAACGACTCAAGCAGCCAGAATCCTGGGATGATATGTAGAAAAATCCAAATGTGAGTAAACCACAGTTTAGTGTAATAGCACATTGAGCATATTGTTTGTAGCATGAATCCTTGTATTTTTCACTATTTTCAATTGCGTAACAGTGCATGTCTGTATTTGCAAGTTGTTGCTTTTATTCCATTCCTTTGTGCTTTGGCTGATTGAATGTGGTGAAAGCATTTTGAAGGGAAAAGTTGTTTATTTAGTCATCATTTAGCAGCAGTTACTTCAACCTTAAGTCTTTTTGGCAGCTTCTCTTTTCTTCCCCCTCGTATTTCATGTATCCAAATGAAAATAAAAAGACATCCCTTTTTTTCTCTTTTTGTTAAGAAACCAGTAACACATTTATGGACTATGGGTGCTAATTGTCTTGCATCTATAATCAAAGCCCAAATCTGGCAAAAACTCACCTGGAAAACCAGACAGTGAGGAGATAATCTGTTTCATGTGCTGAGCTGCTGGCAGAACAGTGGGAGCATCGAGCACCACTTTGGTGGGCATCCCACTGTGGTACAGTGTGAGGTGATTAGTGTGTGTGTCTGCACATGAGGTTATAGGTTCAACATGTTCCCAGAGGCATTGACTGATTCACATAAAAAAACATAACAGCACATCCAAATACATATACTCAGGCCCTCCCTGTATTATCCTATGATCACGAGTGCGTGTGAGAGAGCATGTGTGCCTCAGGGTAAACAGATCTCCATTAAGCAGGGCTGACTATGGACCCTGGACCTTTAGGGACCTCACTAATGAGCAACATGTATGTTAAAAAGGGGTTAAAATGGCTTCAAAAAACATAGTGGGCGTAGCCTTCTGTAACCACTGACTGGAGGTCAGCTCAGTTACCCTCTCTGACCTGAGCTGTTAAGTAGGGAAGTTGAAGAAAACAGTAATGAGATCAGTGCCTGAGGACAATGTCACCTTATACTCCTCCCCAGTCCTCCCTTCCCTCACATTAGTTCTGCCTCCAGAGCATGTAGGTATTATCGGGCCTTTAGGAGAGATATTTAAAAAGAATGACATGAAAGCGGTTAATAGGCAAAAACTACCACCCTGCATTAGATGTCTTGATCAAAAAAGAGAGAAAGTAGAAGCATTTACAAAGACTTTCTGTAGCATCCACAGGGGCTACGGCAAGAAACACTGCAAACAAAAAAGGTAGCAGTTCTCCTTCCTCCAAACTAATTCTTATACATCAAAGCTCCACGAGGGACACAATGACGTATGTGACATGCATTGTATCACCACATTGGTTAGCTACAACTGCAGATTACAATAATAATTCCATTTTCCACTCCAGTAAAAACAGCTGATCCTATTGTTTCAGATCTACTAGGATCCCTCGTGGTACAAACGTGCTGTTCCTACAAGCCAAGACAACAACTACATTAAAAGACATTAAGTCCTGTAACACCCCTGTTAGAAAATCCATTACAATTTCAGTTCTTCTCCAAAGCTCTTACAGTCTCAAACCACCCACACACGTACTCGTTGTAGTTTCTCTACAAAATTAAGGTAACCAGTTTCCTTTCTTGTGTGCGAGCATTTGTACATGTATCCTACCTCCCAGCACGCTGATTGTTATGGCCTCTGTGTGTTCAGCCAGCAGATCGGCCTTGGCTATAGCGGCCAGAGAGAGGTAACTGGACATGTTCCTGCTCAGCTCCCTGTTGCCCCTCTGCAGGAACCGCACGGCCACCGGGACAGCCAGCACCATGACCGAAGGACAACTGTAGTTCTGCAGAGACATGTTATAGGAGAGGAGACACTCTGTTCAAGACGACATTCTCACAGTAAATATTTGTTTTCTAACATTTTAAGAGACATGCCAGCGACTGGTCAAAGCAGCGCACGTCCACAGATAAAATGCTTTTGTTTTTGTAAAGTGAGCATGATTGGCAATCACTGTAACTTTGAACAAGGGGACACAGAGCGAGCGCATTCACAGAGAAATCAGTCTGACTTGAATTAAGCTCACTTCTTAAAAGGAAAGGGCAGCAAAGCAGGCTTAATTTTACAGTCCTGACCTTTACTTCACATTATCTATAAAGGAGAGTAACAAGATCAGATGCCTGTCCTTTGCTGTTTCTGATCTTTCTGAACAACATGTGCATGGTGTTAACGCTCATTAGAACAGACAGTACAGCCTAAAGATCCTCATTAACAGCAAGCCACGCATCAAATATATTTAGTAACTTGAAACAAAGAGCGCCAGCAGTACTTTCCTCAACCCATGTGATAAGTGCCACAGAGATTAAAACGGGCTATAAGAATGAAGAACAGGGGGAGAGACTGCATTGTATTGAAAGACATATGCACAAGTTTGTGCTCTGAACGCTCACGGACCGCGGGATCGGGATTCAAAATGCGCCAGCACCCTCCAGAGGACAGTTTGATACGAACGTCGTGTTCACTGCCGCTCACATATATTTATTTAACACTTGTGAACCCACATCTAAAACATCTGCTTCACATTTGTTTCTATTCACACACCTAAGGCCTCTAAGTCTTTACTATATATATCTATTTTCAAGATTTATCTTTTATGTCTATCATCAAAAACTACTCAATCAATGATTTGGGGAGTGTAGTCTCTCGCTGTCATGCCTCTGGTTTTCCACATGATGGCAGTGCAGGCACTGCAAAAACTATTTTACCCACTAATATAAACTGTGTAAACACCTTCACTTCCTTTATTATCAGGCACCAAAATATAGAAGAATCACCATGAAATGCAGTGTTGGCACTGGAGCTGAGACGTTTTAGAGCACAAACTGTTTTTAGTCTGTCTAAAGAGGGACGATCTGAACACTCAGTGTGAAGCCTGTCATGTTTGACAGCTACAGGCAGCAGGCATGAGGTGCCAGTAGTGTTCTTCTTTTGGCACATGAATTAATGCATTGATTTATTAATCTTTCCTGTCATCTTGTACTACACTTCAATGACAACGCACGTCAAAGAGCTCATATGACATGAATCGTCTCTCGTTTTCTCTGAGGGAGTTTCTGTGGGAAAATAAGACAAGTGTCTATAATTCAAAATGACAGGGAGGGAAAGAGAGAACGGAAGGGGTCAGAGATAAAGGTGGATGGAGGGCAAGAGAGGAAGGAAAGAGATGTGGAAAAATGACATGAAGAGAAACAGATTTTTAGAGATAAAGAAAAAGAGAAAAGGAATGGCTGTCCTGATAAGTGCAGGAGCTCGGACATCGGAGCCAGAAGGTGCCGTCAGAGCTGTCAGAACTTTTAACCTCACTTTTGTGTGTGCGTGTGTGTGGGTGTGTGTCTTTCCTGAGGAGTCAGTCTCATTATGGTGGTATTAACCACATTCCCTTTCCCAAGAAAAAAGTGGGAGGGAGAGAAAGAAGGTGGAGGGGAGTCACTCTGCTTTTATACCTTTCAGCACTGGAGGTCTGAAAATGGGGAAGGTAGGTGAGTTTTAAATGTACATTTCCATGCCTCCCCCCCAGCAGTGATTACATAAAGTATATTTGCTCTTAAAGGGAAACTTCCCCGCTGGAGATCATGTATTATTAATTTTTATTTTAACTCTTCTGCTTGTACCGTTTTGTGAGGGTTTTTTCCTTCGTGCACCAACGTTGCCTTCCTTCACCTGTTTTTCCCGCAAAGCCTTTACACCCTCGTGTTTACCACCAATGCTTTAAAGAGCTTTAGCATAGCATTGCTCACGTGCATTAAAAAAAAAACATGCAACCAGCCCCAAAACTATAACCTGTCAATGGTCACATGACAAAGAGGAAGATGAAAGAAGTGCTTTTTTCTGTTTTCTTTGCATTTTTCTACTCAAATTTGATTATGCCCGTTTTCTGATGAGCTTGACAGTTTTACTTCTTAGAGAAGAAAACTATTACCAAACCTTTAATACAACAGCTATTGATGAAATTTAATGTAGTGCATATCAATGCATCGGTAAAATATGTTATAGCCAAGTGCTCCCAATGGCCTTTTTCCATTCTGCAAGTGTGTATTTGTGTGTGAGTATCCTGTAGACACTCATAGTAGCAGGCAGTTCAAAGTACTTTGGCAGTTCTTAATGTGGTTGCAAGTTGCAACTGTACAAGCTATAGGTGTGTGGCTGAGATGAAAGGGAATGTTTGAGTACTTTGCAAAAGTCTGAGCCCACTCCTCATTTTTTTACGTTTTGTTAGGAAAATGGAAAATATGTGCAATGAATTATTAAAACTCGTACAAATATATATGGAAATCCAGTAGACAAGCCAAAAACAGAGTTTGAGCAATTTTAAAGATGAGTGAATATTTGCAGCGACCACCTTTATTATTCAACACAGCCTGAACTCTCTTAGGCAGCTCTCTTGTCATTTTTTTAAGTAGTCTTCAGGAAAAGTTCTCCAGATTTCTTAAAGGAGACTTAAAGCTCTTCTAAGGATGTTTTCCTGATAGTATTAAATGGTGAATCAAAATCTGACGGCACTTTTCTGCATTCGTCAATTTTGACAAGATCTCTGACACCACTGACTGAAATGCAGCTGCAAACCATGACAGAGCCTCCACGGTGTTTTGCTGATGCTTGTAGACGCTCACTGTTGTATCTCTCTCCTGACCTCCTCTGCACATACTGACAATGATTTGAATCAGAAATTTGAGATTTGGATTAATCCCTCAATCAGACCTGTTGCCAATGATTTTCAGTCCAGTTGTTGTATAATCCAAAGAAAACTTTTGAAAGACTTTCAGAAACACTAAAAAACTATCGCTCAAGACCACTGACTGGTCTGGCCCCTCAGAAAGAAAATTTTAAAAAAGAGGGATGGCTTGGGACTTTTGCACCGTACTGTAAATTTTAGGTTTCATCCCATGAGCACTAAAAGTATCTTGGAGCTAAATACCCTAAGCACACATAATATCCTGAGAGGTTTCTGAGTATGTGTGTCCTTTATGTGCTTCAGGTAAAACAAACAATGATGTGTGCATGTGAGCGTGTGTGTATACCTGCAGGATACAGCTGGTGATGTCAGAGGCTATCTTAGCATGCGGAGTGTCCTCTGTGTTTTCACCTTGCGGGGTGAGGTTATGCTCCAGACAGGACTCCCACAGTCCCACCAGAGCCGTGCTGTGTCGCTCGATGGAGCCCGTCTCCCTTATGGCTGTGGTGATGCGTGTTATGCAAATCTCCACCACTGCCTGGTCATTGTCATTGGTCAAATAGTCCTGTCAGCCAGCAACAGGATGCAAAATTAGGAATACAATGATAAAGTAAGGACAAAAGCAATGAATTATGCATAAGGGCATAAATAATTAATGGCATCTGCTTTGTAATTTTTGAATAAATACCAACTGTGTGTGTTGGTTGCACTGATCTAAACACATCAACTTACCGGTGAGCAGGAGATTGCCTTAATCTGGTCCAGAGCTTGAGACAGACAGTCTTCAATGTCTGCGTCCTCCAGAGAGAACAGATCACCTGCTCTGGACAGATCCCTCTGGCCGAGCACTTGGCTAAACAGCTGGTGCATCCTTGTCCTGGTTTAGGACCTTGAGACGAGCCTGGGACGGCCTCCGCACAGTTTAAGATCACTTAACTGAGAAAGTCGCTGACATAATGTCTTGAATACCATAGCAACTTTTCCTTCACCTCCTGGTTTTAGAAAGATATTTAAATAGAAGACTCTTTTCTGCCAGGGATGGGAGAAAGCAAGTCTTTCTAAAATGCAATAAAGCTGAAATATATGAAGATTTTCAGGCACACACTTTTATACAGAAAGAAATATCGAATGCATCATATTAGGACTTGATAGTTTTATAATTTTTGTTAAAATCCTCTCCGGCGCAGTCCAGAATCAGGTAAGTTTGACGGGTTTGGCCCAACATTTTTCTGGGTCTGCCTGAGGCCTGTTACCATGGAGACAGGGCAGTCCTTCTGCAGCTGAGTCCTGAAGGAGAAAGGACAAAAAAAGAGAGAGTGAAGGATTAAATTAACTAAAGAGAAGGAAATGCTGGGATCGTCATTTTGCACACAAAATCGTCTTCCAGGAAGAGATCATTTGAAAAGCTGGGAAAATTAATTCGGAGCAAGTCAGAGATACTGTCGAGCATCGGATATTTAATTTTGCATGTGATTTTTGCTCTCCAAAACATCTCAAGTAAAGGAGTAGTCGTGCATAAGAACCAAAATTTCATTGCAAGACATAGACATGAAGATTGATACAACTCTTATCTGTGAAAAATACTGCTTATTTTAGCTTAGTCTAAATCCTGGAAACAAAAAGGTTCAGATGAATTTCACATTCTGTTTGTCGTACCGATTAAACAAATAAGATGTGCATTAGTTAGCTGCAGGTTAATTGTGTTTTCTTTTAAAAGGACCTAATAGTCCAACCAGTTGAATCCTGTTCCTAACCATTTTATTACAGTTAAAGCGCAGGATTCCCAGTGTAGAGGGTTCAGTTGGGGGCAGTGGGCGTAGTCCTTTAACTAGCTTGTGTATTTATGGCCCCAAGTCCCATAACAACACAACGGTGCAGTAAAAATGTCCATACAGCTGTGACAGAGCTTTGAACCTCAAAATGGCCACTATGCTAGAGATGTAACTGTGTGTGAAAGCTCACCTGTGTGAGATGTAGAAAACTACAGACTGAAATTCACCATTCTGCCTGTCTCTGGTAAATGGACTGGTTCTTATATAGTGCACTTCTACTCTACAACATGCCTCTCATTTGGAGAAAAGTTGCTGGGGCAGCATGGGAATGTGGGACTGAAGGTAAAAGCATGTGCTCCACTCCAGAGACCTGTGTGTTGGCATCGCTAAGTTATAGTAAATAAATAATCTTACATCTAAATCTTAGTCAGACAGCATTTAATCATATCGCACATATTTAGAAAATGATAGCAGGGAGCATAGCACAAAAGTTAAAAGGGAGTCCCTGGCCCGCTGCCCAAATCAGAGTCTAACCACAAGTTCTCAGTTAAAGCCCGTTATTTATTAATGCATACCAATATCTGAGAGCAAATTACTCCAGGGTGAACCAAGGCCAGACCAACAAATGGAACCAGCTTTATCTGAAAGAACAGTGCTGATCACACACAAAAACACACACACTTCCACTTTTTTCCCATCACAGTCTGACTAAAACCGAAATAAGGAATAACTAAAATACACACAAAGTCAATGTATTCAGTTTAATACACATTTGGATGCACTATATATATATATAACACCCAGCACGCCCCTGCGGGCGGTTTATCCTTCAAGCTCGGGTCCTCTACCAGAGGCCTGGGAGCTTGAGGGTCCTGCGCAGTATCTTAGCTGTTCCCAGGACTGCGCTCTTCTGGACAGAGATCTCCGATGTTATTCCCGGGATCTGCTGGAGCCACTCGCCTAGCTTGGGAGTCACGCACCTATCTATATCTATCATCTATATATATATATATATTAATATATATATATATATATATATATATATATATATATATATATATATATATATATATATATATATATATGTGTGTGTTATATATATATGTGTGTGTATATATATATATATTGTATGTGTGTGTGTGTGTGTGTGTTGTATGTGTGTGTTTGTATATATATATTTATATATATATACACACAACACACACACACAACACACACACACACACAACCATATATATATTATTATACACAAACAATATATAATTATATATATATATATACGTATATATATATATATATATATATACACACACATTTCTCAGTGGCAAATATTTTCAATATATATCTTTTCCACAGTCATTTAAGTGCAATAAAGGAACTATTGTTCTACACTTGAAATTACTTGACATATTTTTTTCTTCATCTTTGTCTGTTTAAAAAAGAAACCTGACTTCACCTCTAAATGCACTTTGTTTATCTGTGTGTGTATTTATTTGACTCTGACTCTAAGCGCTATGCACTCAGACCTAGCTCATATGTACAAATGGCAAATAAAAGTTTTAATCTTTATCTATTGTATTTACATAAATGAAAACAAAACTGAATGAAAGGCACGTGGTAAGCCTAATACCCTAAAATAAGCAAAGCAGAAGAAAACTATGCAAAAGATAAATGCAGTTCACGCCCTCTGCTTCACTGACATAAACAACATGTGGGTTAATCGTTTGCAAAGAGCTGCAAAGGTCTCTAAACAAGAAACACGCATTTTCACAGAGGTTTACCGGTCGAGGATGGAACCAGGGCTTTTAAAATGGCCAGACGTTGACCCGCAGGTACACTCAAAGATCCTCAAAGCTAGAAAAAAAAAGAAGTAACTTACTAAACTGCACGAAATGCAATAACAGCCATAACACCAACGTCTTCCAAAAGACCAAGAGAGCGCGTCTGTCATCACATTCTCTCTGTCTTTCTTGAAAATCCTGCACAAGGAGCGACCACCTCACGAATCTGGATGGAGTATTTGGAGTAAAAAAAACAAGAGGTTTATGATCGGTGTACACAAAACATTTTTTTTGTGTAAAAACTGGGTGATCCACAGCACGCTTATCGTCCTGCAGCAACGCAGCACCAGCACCGCTGACCCCCAGCAAAATCCAGTTTAAAAGGACGAGTAAAGTCAGGATGTGTGCTGCAGAGGTGAGCTTTGGCAGTCTGTATCTCTGCCCTCTGTTTAGCGGCATGAGTAAGTTAAAACATGATAATAATATGTTGCATATCTGGTGCAACTCTAACTGTTATACTCTACACTATAGCACAAATAATGTATTATAATGATTGGTAAAGTAAATAAAGGTAATGAGTCGAACAGAATACACAGTGTCCTGGCGTTATGAATGGAGTTCAAAGTTGTGGTAACTGAAAAGTAGCATGTTAACCATTTACTTGCATTACTGTTACTCTTGTCAGCTTCAATTAAACATTAAATCATTCACACCGGAGCGACGCCGGAAGGGCAAAGGATTACATATGCACACGCACACATATACACACCCACTGAGACTGCTTCTAAAAGTGTGACATATCACTGGCTTAGCGCTCCTTATTTTCTATACAGAAATGTAAACACGTAAACGCGCTGCTGTTCTCGCCGTTGTCGCTGCTTTCTGGGCGGTTTGAAGTATTCGCGCACGCCTTCTTTCTGAAGCAGCCACCCGGCGTGTCTGCTGCCTGTGATCACGATGACTTTGCTCACAGCAGAACTCTGCCTCCTTTGAGAGGACGAGCAGCTAAACATATGTATCTGTGTCATTTTCTGCTTCCTGCACCAGCTTCCCTCTACAATCAGACATCGTCTCATCCTCGCACCGTTTCACTGAAAGCCACACTGGAGCGAGCCCAAGCCAGACCAAAAGGAACGCACAAAGCTGACCACTTGGGAGGCCGCTATCTGTCCTGCCAAGCCAGCGACGGCCATGGAAACCCAACCATTGCCAGGATACCACATCGGGAATTCTTACTGGTCCGAGCTGTGGCTTTGGGACCGAAACAACAAAACAGCCATAAACACAGAGCAAAGAGGTTTATCTGTCACACAAAGACAGGCTAACACACAGCTGTGAAGGTGAATAATCACAAGCTCTTTCTGTGCAAGGAGTTCCCAAAAATACAGTATGAGTGTGTTGTTATTTACACTGTGAACATATACTCCTGTACACTGTGTATTTCTTAACTTTTTGATAAGGATGTACTGTATGACATACACACTTTCCTGGGAGTGTGTACAGCCATTCAAAACTAATCCCACCAAGCACCAGACATCAATGGATGACATTTTCTGGGCTAAATCTGGTCAGCTAGTCAAAGCCTTTAAAAATATGCCACTTCACATATAAATGCGTTCAAAAAGTGAAAGCTGAAGAGTCCTCTTTGCAGCGTATTGGAAAGACTAATATTTAACAAATGTGCTTGTGCTATTTGTATACATGTGGCTACAAATTAGGGCATCTGAGAAAGAAGGTTTTGAGTATAAACCCCCCGGTTGGTTGGTTGTAGGCTTTCTGTGTGGATTTGCATGTTTTCCTTGGGCTTGTGTGAGTACTCAGGTTTCCTCCTACAGTTCAAAGACATACCAAATGTCAACATTGCTTAGAGGTCTTTTCTGTAAGTTTTTGCTCAGTGGGTTATGGTCTAATACACCAGTCATAATAAATAAATTGTAGCTTCATTTGGACTAAAATGTTTTGTGTTTTAAAGACATGATGAGCATTCAGAGCTGTAGAAACTGAATTATACTGCAATATCATGTGTATCTAGCACAAACTGTATATAATAGGTGAATGTAAGCTGTGCATCTGAACAGCATTCCTGCATTCCTTTTAATGGCCAGTAGGGGATGATTATTCAGTTTGCAAATAAAAAAAACAAAACACAGTTTTAGTGAGAAAATTAAATGACTCATCACTTAAATTATGAACTCAGTTAACAATTTCTTAACTGTTTTTGTGTTTGCATTGCTAACTTGATGTTGTATTTAATACAACATCGCAGTTATTTTGCAACTAATGTCCAACGTGGAGAAAGATGTTTCATCAAGCAAACTTTAATGCTTAGCTAGCGCTCACTACGGTTTGGGCATGCAGGTTCCTCAGTCAAATCTTCAATCTTTACATCTGGTTTACGGATGTTACCAGAAATGATTTCTACAGTGCCATTTGGCATCATAATTGTGGAAAAACAACAGCAGGCAAGGGGGCGGCATACAGCTGTAAGTGTTGTAGTCTAGCATTAGCTCTGCTCCAACTCATCGATATGAAAGGTAGAGTCAGCTATGGAAATACTGGTGGGGTGATTGGGGGATGATAACTGACTCACAAACTATATAAAAATTATGTTATTGTGTTTTATTTAGAGTAAGAGAGAGAAAAATACTACAAATTTAATAAGTTGGCTATAAGACCAGCACCCAGAATTCAATTTTCTGTTCACAGTAACAACATTCACAATGTTATCCTTCTT